TTTTTCTCAGCTCTCACCGAACCGATTTCTTTCAATGATACGTCAAAAGATCACAAATCGTATCTAGTCGAAGACATTACCCTCAAAAATTGAAAAAATTTCCCTCGTTCTCCGTAAATGGGGGAAACCTCCAAAAAAATTACAAATTTAAAAATCGCTAATTTTCGAAATTTTTTCAATTTTTTTTACTAAAAACTGCCGTAACTTTTTTAAAAATAAACATATCAATATAATTCTTTTTTTTATAGATGCATGATGTCATTACCTATCATTTAGTATATTTTTTTATAAATCTGACTTTTTACCTGCCCACAGGGGGGAATTTAAAATGACAACTTTTTTACAAATTTTTAAAAATTAATTTTTTCAACTTAACTTTTGAAAGTGTTCCGGAAGATTTGACACTTTTATATATATCTTAAATTAGAGCTAATGTAATATACTTTAACATGAAAAAAAAAATTTTGGACTTTATTTTATCTTCAGGGTGAAAATGGCTACCGAATGCTATTTTTGTGTGAAAATTTTCGATTTTGTATTTTACATTTTTAACTTTATTATGCTATAACTTTTAGAAAAATGTATGGATCAGTACAATTTTTTTATGAGGAGTAGTATTCATATACATCTTTCATTTGACATACTGTTTTTTTAAATCGGACCATTTCCTTATATACGAGGGGGGTTCAAATCTAAAAAATGCATGTAGACAGTAGAACTTTTTCAACTTTACTTTTGAAAGTGTTCCGGATAGTTTGACACTTTTATATATATCTTAAATTATAGCTAATGTAATATACTTTATTATGCAAAAAAAAAATTTCGGACTTTATTTTATCTTCACGGTGAAAATGGCTACCNTGATGAAAACAGACATCAAAGTTTATAAAAAAAATACGATTTTTGTAAATAAATTCTTTTTTATATTTTTAACTTTATAATGATATAACTTATTAAAAAGTGTATGGATCATCATAATTTTTTTATAAGAAATAATATTTTTTAATAATCCCTTTTTCATTCGACATACTTTATCTGAATCAGGATATTAATAACGAACTAGCAGATCATGTAGCTTTTGGAATAATCCACCAATTTTTTAAAATTAAACACTATCTAAAGATTTGCATCGAAGCGTTTTTTTTTGATAGTGATTTTAATCACTGTCAGATATCATTATACTTGANTTTTTTTTTTATAGTTATTTTAATCACTGTCAGATATCATAATACTTGATCCAACTATGCCACGTCACCACTGTGCCGCGATCCCCCTCTGCTGGGTTTTTAATATTATATGTGCTTTTTAATATGTGTTTCTATTACATATTTTTTATTTTATGGTTGTTATTCATTTTTAACGTTTCTATTTGTTTTCTCACAATTGTATAAATTAATATTAACGTGTTTTAATAAACAATTTGTGTTGTAAAACAGTTTTATTAATTAGAAAAATAATTTAATTATCATTTTAAATGCAAAAATATAAAAAATTTATAATTCCTTATTTTCAATTAAAAGTCTACGAAATTTCCTTTTTTATTTTAATTAACAACGTATAATAAATAGAAATAAACAAATTTTTTATACATTATTTTTTACATCAATTTTAATTATATTGAACTAATACTATAAAACTAATTTTAATTGTAAATTTCGTGGTCAGCACAATATAATCTGATCAAAACACATTATAACAACGGTATGGAATTACAGATATTGGATGCCAGTAAAAATCATCTTGGTCTAAAAATTATTAGGTACTTTGTGCCTAAAAGACCCTTTTCAACAGTGGAAACGATTCTTATTCGAAACACTTACTAAAAAAACGTTTTCTCGTATAATTTAAATAGGGAAAATAGAGCCTGTGAGTTGAGTAATTATATCAAAATCATCGTGCTTTATTTTTACATGTATAATTGATGTTTAAAAGAAACAAGATTTTTTTTTAATTAGATAATCTTATACTTTTGTATGTATAAATTGTTACACAAATAAAAATTTTATTCATTTTAGATATAAAGTATTTCAAAACTACAAACTCCTTTTTTTTATTATTATTATACATAGGTGTACGTTAAGTACAGATCGTTATTTTACAAGATGTATGATAAGAATAGACCTTAGAATATTTTAAACACAGAATGTTCTAAACTCTACATTTTTTTTTGTGCAGGTATTTGATAAATACTAATTTCGTATTTTTTTGGACACAGGGTCACAATACTGGAGACTAAAATTTTATAAACAAGAATTTGACAAGTATAAACAAAACTATATTTTATACATACAGTATGATTGACATCGATAAAATCTTTATCTTTGTCTTTGTTTTATATATACTGTGTTCAATAAATTAAGAATCAACCAATAATGAAAATATGATTACTATGAAGGTTTGTAAAAATTAAACAGATATTTATATCACAAAAAAATATAAACAATTAATAAAAAATGAAACATCCATTATATATTACTATTTATTTTAATAAATGAATTTAAAATATGAACTTTCAAATTAAATATTTCACGAAACATAAGATCCACAACTAGTATCGCATTTATCTGAATACACAAAAGTGTGAAATCGCATTTTAATCAGATAAAGGTAATCAAATATCTATATAACGATCCTTAAAAATATAAAAATTGAAATAAAAATTATATTTTGACACTATTAATGTATTATTCTGTTATATAGCATAGGTTATTGGATTCAAAAAATAATGCGGACATTTTTTAGTAATAAATTTTTGCGTTTACCTTTCTATGTTTTATTATTTTCTCCACATTTAAAATTATTAAGGGTGGTTTTCTAATTTGTCAGAATTTTCAAGAAATTATATTTATATCAGTTAAATAATTAAATGTAATTATAATATAATATGTTAACATAAATGAAACTAATTTTTCAGTAATTTTTTGTGGCTTTTTGAGTTTAAAATTTTTAATTTTTAATATAGTTTTAATTGTATTTATACATGAATATGTTAATTAAATTACATTTTTTATTGTAATTTTATATTTATGATTATAACTACACATTGATGGAATAAAAACAAATGACAATTTTTGTGCAAATAATCGAAAATTCGTTTTCAAAATCCTTGAATTACACTGTTAAAATTAATAGAAATGTTCCAAAAATGTACAATATGTGAAATAGAGTTATAACCAAAATTGTTTAGCTCAACTTGTGACTTTTATATTACTAATTATAATATTTTAATTCACTTTTCACTAAAAAATTATAACATTTATTATAACTGATATCACATCAATGTTATGAATCATCTATCCTTTCTCTTTGTCAGTAATTGTTTGTAAATAAACATATTTTAATATAAATTAATAATGATACGAATTTAAACAATTCATTTATATTGATTTAAAATGCTAAATCAAATCGTATAGTAAAACGTTTTGACCCGTAAAGTAAATTATGGATGGAAAGTACGTAAAACATTCTGAAGAATTCAGGTGTTTTGTATAGGCAATTTAACTATCAATGTAATGCGAAAGTGGCGTAACCAAACGCACAGTGTTTATTAAACGAGTGAAATTCGAAAACCGGTACCAGGGATTCAGGAAGAGAGCTGTAATGATTTGGTTTGGTTTGAAGTCCAAGGCCGGCGAATTACATAAAAGTCAGAAAAAGAGTACCAGGAATTCAGAAGGTATGTGCGATTTATGACGACCTTCGTCATTTACATGGCGCAATATAGTCCCGCTATCTTCCGCCAGCGGTATCAGGCTGTTCGACTAACAATAGTCTAACGCGATCATGTCTGTATAGCATTTAAAAGGGCTTGACGTGTACATTAGGGTGGTGCGCTACTCCATTAATTTAATGGTGCCCATGAATCTGTATGTCCAAGCTGGTTTCATGCTAAATATAATCATTTATCGTAGAGCGCAAACATAAAATCTTAACATACAATTTAGTTGTATAACAAGTGAATGCGATTAAGGTTTTGTTGAGCATTTGGAATCATAACAAGTCCGATCAGAAAAAAATAATGACATAAAAGAAAGAAATAAAAGAGGAAAATTCTACATTATTTTATTAAATGGAGCACGTGTTTAATTTATGTATTAGTTTTGTTCTTGTGAGTTTTATTTAATTTTTTAATCAGTAACCTGATAAATATGGTGCATTGCCGAAACTAGTAGTTACTATTTGTATACATTTATACTCTAAGTTTAGTTTTATAATTTTTCATTATTAATAAATAATCGCAACATGAAAATGATATACCTGTACGAATATTTTTTTTATATCCTTTTCTTAATAAGTTTCGAATTGAAGTAATCGATTTATTATTTCGGAATATTTTTACTCATTTCCTAAAGGCGCATTTTCCTCTTAATTTTTCATTATGAATTATGATAGACAGATTTTTATGTATATGCTTCATAACGCAATTACGGGGATTTTCTGGTGAATTATAGTCCGTTCAAACTTAAAGACTTTGAGAGTATTTGAAAACATAGTTTTAACTTATATTTATGCGTGTATGTATTTTATTAGCTACATTAGATTTGGTATAAAATTAAGAACTTCACAATGTTAGGAAGGTATAGCAATAATATTAGTGGAGGGTGTGGAAGCTTTTATAGTTGTATAAAGATTACACTGTCAGAATTTTTCTAGAATTAAAAAAAAAACTCATGAATACGTTACAAAATTATTTTATAGCTAAATACACAAAAAATATCAACAGTAAAGTGATAAAAAATTATACAACAAAAGTATTAACTTAATACAAAGAATTCAAAAAAAAAAGTCTATATATGATTGAAACTTAAATACACACAATTATAACTTTTATCAAAAAAAAAATAATAATTGAACAATAAACGTTTATAATATAATAATACTTTTTAAATTAAGCTAAATTAATAGACTATGGATAAGAAAGTTGAAGTAATTATATATATTATATACAAAATAATATTAAAAATATATATTAAAATTAAAATAGTTGTAATAAAGTTGTATCATCAACATGTAAGGCTTTAGAATTTTATATGTGTGAAAAAATCTTAGAGATGTATTTATTTAAATTATTGAAAGAATGGTATTAAAAAACTTGAGATTTATAATAAATTGTTTAAATACTCAATAAATGGTTGAATATTATATTATTGTTTTGTGACAGATAGTTTTTTAAAGTTATTATAATAATATAACAAAATTTTAGTTTAGTAAACTGAATTTTATAACTAATTGTTCAAAAATTTGTTATTAAAATTTCAATAAGAAAAAAAATCTTGTCACTTTCGAAACAAATTCTGATTTGCTGTCCACCACTTATAACAAACCTAAGATACAATGTTGTAAAAAATGACTAGATATTGATTTTATAATAATACGGCTATCTTTAAAAAAGTGTAGATTAAAAATGCTGAACATTGCTGCGCAAACATATTTGTTTTAATTAAAAAAAGAGCTAAATTTTAGTTTATTTAAAATTAGATACACTTTTAGTTCTGGAAAATTTAAACTAATTAGAAAAGAAAGTAAACTAAAAAAAGTTAAATTAAATTTGTAAATGTGCATAAAATAACAGTTATTTATTTTAAATATAGTTACTATATTAGACAATAATTCAATTAAAAATATTTATTTAAAAATGTTAAGTAGAAAGAAGGAAACATTTTATTAATTTATCAATGGCATTTCGTTATAAATTATTAATCAATCATAATATTAAGTAATAATCTACTCTAAAATGTGTCAACAAGAATTAAAAATAATACAATTATACCTAAAATTTGAATAAATAATTTCTCCTCTATTAGTAATTAATACTTTAATAGGGATCGACTGACAAACGTTGATTTAAAAATACCTGAAATTTTGAACATTATTCATTGGGACCTTAAGTAACATAAGCAAACTGTTTATATCGAATAGGTTTATTAATTCCACCAAAAAAATTAATTCATCTGTGATTTCAGGATCTCAGCGCTCCTCAGGATTTAATTGACTATTAATGAAAATATAATAAAAATATATAATTAAATGAGAACATAACCTTATAATGTATAAATACAAATAAAAAATTGAATATTATAATTATCTAGTTATATTAATAAAACAAATAATGGTAATTTATGATAACAAACGATTAAAATTTGTCTACTTAGATTATTGTACTTAACTGAATTTTGACCTAAATAAAAATATTTATTATGCCAGCTATTAGCAATTTTGGTCTTTTAACTAATTATCTATAAACAATGGCATATGTGGAATTTTTCAATAAAGCTAAACTAAAACCAAAATGATTTTTCATCTAAAGTATCACTTTATCACTGTCATTTGAAGATGCTTAACCGATTTAAGCTCTTTAGATACGCCACTGATTATAAATATTCTACAATTCAAAACATTTACTACACAATAATTAGCGCCAAAATAAAATTTTATCTAACATAATAATTTATCTATTTAGGTACTTCATAAGTTTAGAGTTATAGTTAATTAATTTAAATTCCCCTACGCGAATAATGTTAAGACGATTTCTTGATTTTGACAAGTCCGTCAGTCGAATGAGATACATTTACATAGTTCCAATTACCACTAAACGCGTAATCTCCTAAAAATAAAAAAATGATAAATTTTTTTTTTTTGAAAAGGTCCTAAAAATTAAAGATGAATTAAAACATAATTGTACAACAGATAAATAATTACCCGTATGTTGATGAACAAATGGTGTGTTGTGATGAGTCCGGTGGTGACTGCATTTTCCTGAGGATTTGGTTTCAATAACGAAACCAGTAGCACACGCATCCATAAACATGTGACACCAAGAGTGATAAGTCTTGTCGTTTGAACCACATACGGGGCCGCCCCCGACCTCTTTCCGATTTGACACTGGTTCAGTAGGACAAGGCAAGTTACAAGTCACGCAGCGCGGACGTCCAGTTTTGTTTTCGGTTAAACATTTTTGACCGCTTTTACAGGACACCGTAGCGCACGTTGCAGACTCTGAAAACGGTATTTTTCAAAATAAATAAAGCTAAATCTATTTTTCTATTGCACGATGAGACGCAATGGACACATGAATTGATGATAACCTTTGGTAATGTTAAGTATAAATGACTTAAATTGACTGGTGTTAATTATTCACTTCTGGTCATAAAAGTGATATTCCATATTATTTTGAAGATACTACGTAGTGGGAAAAACTACTCTAGAGTTATATATTACAGAGCCTATCATTTTTTGTGACACCTTTACTTTGTATCTATTCACACCAAAATAATTAATGTCACTATTTACTAACTTGAACTCTTTAGTTTGAAAAAAAGAATATGTCAAGAGGAGTTTTCACAATACTGAACACGATCGTTTTAAAAAATTAACGAATCGTAAAAAAGTTTTCTACATTTTGAATGCTACTACAATATTATATTTTTTGCTAACACTATCTTAAGTTAATATATTTAACACATATCTCATATTTCTAATTTAATTAATTGGTTCAGGGATAGTCTAAACTAAATAAATTTCAATTGTTTACAATTTTGTGGAGCACGAAATTTAAGTATTCGATAAATATAGTTTTTTTTTTATTAAGTTACATTTATTTTGATAGTATAAAAAATTACTACGGCGTTTTCTTAGTTAATATTTTTCAAAATAGAAGTCTTTCTTAAACTTAATTAATAACATTTGTTTTTAGTCAAATTTGTTTCGTTCTTCATTGAACTCCATAATTATCTAAACAAAATAAAATATCAACACTGATTGCCAGTTATGGTAATTAAATAGAAATTGCTATCATAATATGAGGAAGCGCCAGACCCGTTAAATTTAACTCTTGGACAGCCGTCAACAAGTTGTTCGTACTCGCGTGCTCAGGTTTTGCAGGTTAATTTTGATTTTTGTTATTTTTTTAAGGTCCAGCTGACTTTGGATTGTTTCCAAACATAAACAAAACTCATTAAGTCTATTAAGATAAAATGTCAACAGTATTATTTTACAAATATCTGAATGCGCGTTTTCCGTAAGTAAGCATTACATGAATTTTTTTGAACATTCAAAACTTTGAACTCACCAAAACACTACATAAATTGTAGTTCAAGTGGAACCAGAGAGTGATAAATGATTTTCGATGAAAAACAAGTTTGTAAATAAAAATAAAAAATGTTATCATATTTGTTTCGAATTGTTTTTGGTCTCGCCTAAGAGTGATATATTAAAAAAAACAGGTGGACTTGCAATTCATACATTCCGCGGTATGTGTGTACACATTATTGCCACACAGTGGAAACAAATGAGAAAGGGGTTGAGTCGGGTCACTATTTAGTACTTACGCACACTTTGATGGGTTGTAAACCTGACGTATTTTGTAGTACATAGCGTCTAGACGGTCTAATGAGACCAACTGCCGCCTTCGCTGGGTATGTTGGTAAAACATTGTCCCGCAGCACTAAAAACGTGTACATAAAATGGCCATATACTTAAGGTAAGGTATATGTCAGCAACGGATGGAATCCTACCTATGTTGTATAGAAATGAAACAAGTGAGAACAGATTTGCAGCACCGAAAAACCGCAACGATAACACAAACGTGTTGATACGAAAAGATGACTTTATTATGTATCATAACTATCATGCACGAATAAAATGTATTGTTTAAATAAAAAAACGACATGTTTTCGTGATCGAAATATAAATCGTAACAATTTAAAAAAAAATTTATAATTTATACAAAAAACAGTCATTAAAGTAATCCTTTTTTACAATTCATTCTGTACAACTATTCATGATTTAATTAGTATCGATAAAAAATATATCGGAATGGGAATTATAAGTCAATAATTTTGAAATTAGAAAAAATGACAATTAATTGTAAACTTACTTTTACATCGACCTTTGTACGCTATTGGAATGGCTCTGCCCGTCCGACAAGCAGCTTCACGTAAATGGCATGCACTTTGATAAGTGTGACCATCAGATCCACATACAAGTTTAGATGGTGACAAACCTGTTGAACAATAAGAAGCACATTTCACGCAGTGAGGCATCAAGTTTTGATCTTGCAGACAATATTTACCACCGGGACAGGTAACTTTTTCACACGAATCTGTTCAAATAAAATATGATTTTAAGTATTTTACAAGTGTTCACCTCTGAAATGTAGTTATATTTATAAAGAGTTTTCTAGTCATAGTTTACTAATTTTCAGATTCTTCAGACGTACGATATTTTCTAATTATTATGAAAACCCAATAATTTATCATATACAAGATTTTGTATTTATATGAACTTTTTAATTTGCTGTATACAAGATGATCCGTTTATCAGAACCCACTAAATTACTTACAAATAATTGAGTGGGTTCTGATAAATGTATAAGGTTAATCCTTATATCAAATTTGCCAAAAATCATTTTGATATCGATCAAAATAAAAAAACTGTGTTAGATCTCGGATAAATTATAAAAATTGTTTGCATTCTCATGCACACAATGGACAAATTATTTTATTTTTTTAACACTTCGTTCATTCTGTTTTTTAACAATTTCATAATTACTTTGGCATAATCCATGATAAGCAACAACAAGAGATTGGTCTCTCGTCCTACAAGATCTTTTTTTCAAACGACACAGCGATTTGTATGATATTCCATCTGTACCGCACACGGGTCCTTTAATTTTTAGTCCGTCATGTCTCTTGCAGTTAGGCGAACAAATACATTTTGGAGAACCTGATCGAATAACACAAGTTCTACCAGATCCACATTCTACTCCCGCACAAGACTCTAAATAATTAAAACAAGCTGTTTAAATTTTTCTTGTAATAAAATCAATTAACTTTTAAATTGACATTTTGTTTTAAAACTTAGACAGATAGTTCAAATTTAAATATTCAAAGTATCATTTAGAGTATCCACATATGTTTCAATATATTCAGTTTTATACTGACATTGGAACTCGTTGCAGAGTTCATCTTCGAAGTGATAGTTACAGGTTTGAGGTGGTAACTAATACTTAAGTTTTCGATTAATTACTTAAATTTGCGTTAAGAGTTCTAAATGTCAGCATAAAACTGAAGACATGGATACATCTATAAATATTCTAGATAATACAATAATTCATGTAAATTTTAATACATTTATATTCATAGTATTGCTTTAAATTTTTACCTTTACACCGCGTACATGGAACACCTTCATTCAATACCCGCCAGAAAAACAGTGCACCTGAATCCAAGTCCGATGAACTCCAAGAAGTGGACACCGAACTCCCACCCATCTCACAACATTTTTCTTTGGATACCCCTTGTGCTATAAGGTCCTTACAAAGTCCATTCTTGCCCATAGTTGCCCAACACATACCCGCTGTAATAAAATAATAATTATAATATTATTGTTTAAATTTGTAATTATTATAATGTAATTATAAATTTTTTAAATTGACACCTAATATGTTAAATATTTAGTTTTGTACAATATGAAATATATAATAATATTATATATATATATATATATGTGTATAATTTATATACCATTTTGTATAGGTGGTGAGGTATACTTTACTTATTTCTCTATAGTTAATGATCTATTAAAATATGTACTCACAAAAAATGTATTGTTTATTTGAGTATATATGCGGCAATGAAAACGTTCAACACATAAAAATTATTTAAATATTATACAAAACATATTGTTCATACTATAAAACAGCTCCAACTGTACATTGATTTTGTATTGTTATTATTTAACAGCACATTAATCATACTTAAATAATACAATATATTATTATGATTGTAAATTTAATCTTAATCATGTAAATATCGTACGAATTTATAACAAATAAATCACTAGAGAGAATTTAATACTTATTGTATGAGTTATTACACATTTTTGTAACCATTTAAAAATTTATTTATGCATCTTATATTACCTACAAAATAGGTAAATATTTCTCAAGTGCACCCAACACTAAAAGCATAAATACTAGATGACAATATTTAATAAATTTATAAGCATAATTATGGCTCATCAAAACAAGAAATATATATACAATTAGATACTATACTAAGTAGCACATTAAATTCTCAAGGAAACAAAAGCCTTTGTTATATCTACATATATAATCATATAAGAGAAACAGAATTATAACGTCTATCATAATGTTATTGTGTTAAAAAAACAACAATGCAATTAAATATTACAGAAAATTTTATAGTATTAATTTGCATTTTAATATGAAAACAATCGTGCTTGTGTAATAGATAACTATGATGATTATTGAATATAATTCGCTATCGGACGGCTCTTAACTCTAATCTTTGTCCACGTGCGTCAATAGTATTTTTACTATTTTTTCTACTATTTTTACATTAACATAAGTCAATGTACTAAGTTGTACATTAATCAATGTATTAATTATTAAATTAATAAACAAATTAATTAATATCTTAATTATTCTAAATCTTATTAAGCCATTTTGAAAATAATAAGAAACACTTTTACGCATTTAAGGTGTATTTTAATTCAGATATCCATGAAAATAATAACATGTAGGCAATCGACCTATATTATTAAGGAGGGCAAGGGGAGTGAAAAACCCAGAGCACACGTGCTTAAGGGACATTTCTCAAATTTTACTAGCCTAGTTTTAAATAGTGACATAGTTATTCTGGTTTTTTTTTTTTGCTCATCACTTTTTTCATGAAAAGGATAATTTCCACAGGCGTCCATTTCAAGATATCGCCCAGGCCCCATTTAGGTCTTAATCCAGCTATTCAATTGTTCCTCAGATTTTTTGTCAGCTCAAATGCATCAGTAATATTTATAATAACTAAACATTTAAAAATAACGATTTACTCCATTTTATTATTGACAAAAAAAAATTTAATTAATTATTAGCCTATAAAATATTAGAAAGAGTGATTATTTTATAGTTCAAAATTAATCACTTATTTAATCAAAAAATAAAAATAATATTGATAAATTTTTTTCATTCCCTTTTAGCTACATTTTTTTCTAAATTTATCAATCATGAAGTATATCTTACGTTCATACCTTATAAGGGTATTATTAATTTTGTTAATTGCGACATACATAATTATCTAGCTAATATAATTAGATAATGATCTAATTAAGAAAACGACTGGTCGACATTTATTTTTGAACTAGTATTTCAAAAGTGTAACAATTTAAATTAATAACTCTAGGTGAGGCTAAGGTGCTGCTATTTTTATTACTAGACATAACTCAGCTTCACTCCTTCTTCTTCCTAGGCATATAAATGTTAAAAACTTCTGATATATTGGTTAGGTCCAACCAATTGGTCCAAAAGTTGTTATTGACGAGTAACATTCATAAGTAGATCATTATCTAATAAATTAACTGGATAATTATGTATGATACTATTTGAAAAAAATAAGTTGTCATTTATATGAGGTATGAGGAAAGAACATAAAAATACTTCATGATAAATTAAGATAACCTAAAAGGAATTAAAAGAAACAAGAAAAACTTTAACTAATTAATTAATTAGTAACTAAGTATTATTTTTCGATTAATTAAGTAGTTCGTGATAAAAAAATCACTGTATAATAAAAAAAAAAAGTTAACATTTATGTTTATCAAGCATTGTTCAAAGTAATTTGAGTGATAAAAAATATTCAGACACTACTGAAACAAAACAAATTGCAACGATAAATGTTAAGTCTGAAACACAGAAAATAGGGCACAGAAATCGACTAATCAAGTAAAATAAAAACACTAAACATTCCGAGTCTCAGTATTCGCCTTTATCAAGTCAACGCGTGTCTGGATTATACACATACATGAGTTCACGTCCTCGATCCCTTTCACTCAGTACACTTGTCCTTTGAAGGTTGCGGAGCTGATGACGTTACAGTTGACACACGTTCATGAAAACAATAGCGCACATATACATATTTAGGTGCATGTGTTTTATGCATCATCAGTCTCGTGTGGCGAAAAATAAATAGGTCAAACGACTCGCCGCCGTAAAGTCCCTTAGAGAATGTCGACGTATGAGGAAGTGAATAATTAACCGACCACACAATGTGAGTACAACAACCACCGGCACGTGTTCGATCAATTTCATTTAATTACACGCGTCCACCGAGCACTAGTAACGCCATTGAAAATCTGTAACACGCTGAAGTAATCCAACAAAGCTGTTTATAACTTGAAAGGTGTTTGTAATAGTTTATTTTGTAGCCATACCACACTGGGATACTCCTTTTTTAGAATGGTCTTGATCTGTTTATTATTATTTAAAATAACATATTTTTATTAACCATTTACAGAATACAAATAATGAACCCAATAAAACTTAATGAAACTCTTAAAAAAATATTATATTGAAATGCATTACTGATAAATAGGGTTCGGGACTTTATAAAGTGTATTTTAGTCATTCCGATTACATCAATGATAAATAGATATTAGTTTTTGTTTTTCTTAACCCTACTCGATGTATGAAAATAACGATATTAGTTTTTTGGCGTAGGGAGATCCCAAAACATAAAACTTAAACTGTTCCTGTGGTTCTGTATATAACTATAATACGCGTTTATTAAGTTGAATTTTATAAATGCATCAAGTCCCAAATCCTACTGATGAGTATGATCAATGATGTTTTACCATAATATTTTTTCCCTTCAGTTGAACAAAATGATTGAAAATCATCGGGAGAATATATTAAGAAACTCGGTAAAAAATAAATATTTAATTCATGGACATATTTATAGACATAGTCTTAGACTTGAGCGATCATACTGTTAAAGTTATTATGCCAAGTACAAGCACAATAAGAAATTACAAATACTCATGGTGAATCCTAATTATACATCAAAGTTAAACTTATATTGCACGGCCAATAGCCGTTGGACTTACACAATTTGCAATTTATGATCAATACGTTTCTATTACAGTAAACCTGAAGCAATGAAACAAACAAGTTTACATGATTGCAACGAATGATTATATGATAAAGAAATATATTGTTGTTCGTGTAATTATTTTTTATGATTTATAAATATTATAATTTCATACAATAAGTGCAAATAAAATTAGTTTCTCAGCACACTGAAACATTTTATTGCTGCGATGAACTATTTACATGTATATTGCCAATATTTGTAACAATAAGACATTAAATGCAAGCGATTTAAAAATACATAAGATATGCTTCCTATTTCCTGTTTATGATTATTTTTTCAACAACAAAATTTCATCGTTCAAAGTTTTAAACGAACTGCACCAATATTGTTACAGTGAGAAATTGAATTTTCTGGCAAAGATTAACCAATAATACGTTTTATTTAATAGAAAAACTTTCAAAAAAGCACATTATTCTATCCCAGTGGGAATTGAAGAATCCACACCCCCTCTCCATTGGCAAATTATTACTATTAACAGTGTATAACTTCAGCGCTAATAAAAGTATGTGATCAGCCAAAAAAAAAAAAGGCTTTACCAAGGACAAGTCACGCCCAAGGAAAAATCCTGACATCGACACTGTTTTATCTATTGAGTACGTTTGGCTAATAGCTCAGATCTCGACACAAAATGAACCTGGTGAAAATTCCACCGTTTAGACCACCCGCCTGACCGTCTGCTCTCGGTGTAAACACGTAGTAAAGAGCATAATAACGCATACGGGGGGGCACCCGACCTTACCTAACCTACTCAACAGACGGGTACTTGCACTGCACCTATATCACAATTCGCCGACGGCGGCAGCCACAAGTCCCGTCGTTTTATCTGAACTATTAATCTCCACTGCAGACCGGACATGAGCGCGACGGTCGCACGGTAAATCATGAACAGACGGATAATGATAATAAAAGTAACCTAATAATAATTTTTCGCATACGCCAAAAGACGTATTATACATGTGTGTGTTTTAGTCGTGAAAAATAAACAACATAACTTCGAACGCATACTAAATAGCAAAAGATCAAGTGCACATTAATATCATGTTAGGTGATGGCTAGGGGGGCGTTCTACTATAACTTAAAGGTCGTTACAAATTGTACCTCCTACAACTGAATCCACTACATTTTTATTTATCTATCATTACACTGTCTACCGGAAAACTTTTAAGCTAATACCGTATTTTTCAAGCTGTAATGAAATTACTTTTATATTGCTAACGTTATCCATTTGAAAAAAAAAATTATTATCCTGGGATTTAATATTTGACCTTTAAAAATATAATGAATTGTTCGGTTCAAGGATTAAAAGATGTGGTGAAAGAAATTAATTTTAGTCCTCTGTTACTATTAATGTATTTTACTGCGTTTAGACGATATATTAAAATGGACTACAAAATTTCTATGATAGAAACAAAA